GTCTTTGTCCACCTTGTCTATTCCACGCAGTATTTTATATGTCGTTATCATGTCTCCCTGACCCTCCTGTCCTCCAGTGTCGTCAGGCCGATGTGTGTGTGTGTGTGTGTGTGTGTGTGTGTGTGTGTGTGTGTGTGTGTGTGTGTGTGTGTGTGGTGTGTGTGTGTGTGTGTTGTGTGTGTGTGTGTATGTATGTATGTATGTATGTATGTATGTATGTATGTATGTATGTATGTAATATATTTATCCTGGCGATGGTAGGCTTTGATGTGTATTGTATTAATGAGCGTCTGTTGTATCCAAGTTATTTTTTGGTAGAATGAGAGTAAGTGTAAGGTGTAGTGCCAATAAAAGGGATGGTAAAGACAAGTGAGGGTAATTGGTGTACACTGGCTGCTTAGTACTGAATACATCGATTCCAGGCTGAGGATGATTACCTCAAACTCTCCTCTCCTTACCCCCTCTCTGTTTTGTATTGGACTAAAGAAGCCACTGTGCGGCGAAAATTTCCTTAAAAAAGAAATTTCCCCTTTTGCTGCTTTAAATGGCCAATCTTCGGACAAAAAGGGGGGGGGGAAAATTTCAAATGGACTATAAAGAAAGGGGAACACAGAATACCCTGGGCCCCAATTTTTTCAAACTCCCGTAGTTTCCTTTTTAATATTTAAACGCAATTTTTTTTTCAATTTTTTTTTTTCAAAAACTTAAATTTTTCCCGATTTTATTAATGTATATTTAACCACAAATTTTGGGGGTTTAAAACCCGGGTGCGAAATGTCTGGCAGTGGGGGTGTCGAAAAAGAATATGCAAGAGAAAAAGACCTTAAAATATTAGCACAGGAACCAAAAAATGAAACTCATTTAAAAAGGTAAAAACCCTTATAAGGAAAACCCGGGGAGGTTTTAGAGGAGAATTTTAACATCTACAAAAGTTTACCAGGGAAAAAAAAAATCCAAAACATTACACGTACAAATTTAAGAGGATGGAGAAGAAATTCCCAAAAAACAGATGACAACAAGCAAATCTCATGAAGAGAGTTTGGTCGGGAATCATCTGTGAGCAAATAACAGGACACCTGTTACCCAACAGTATCACACCGTCACAGAGTTAACCAGAGACCAGTGTTACTAATCTCCATACATAGACCTGAATAGTCTGATAAAGGAGCGTCCATTTAGAACAATTACCCTGCAGGAGATGAGAGTATATATCAAAGATAATAAAAATAAATTATTATAATCAAAACTAAGCTCTAAACCCACAAGGCTCATATAGCTCTGCACTAAAATAAAGCTCCATCCCTATCAGGACTAAAAGTTCTAAAGTAAACTTCCTTCCAGTGAACCGCGAAACCATTTCTGAGTGTACGTAACACTATTGTAGCAACAGGGTCTTTCCTTGTGTTGTCAAAACAACCTTCGTGATTGATATTCCTGCAGTGAACTACAAGAATAATTGATGAATGCATATATTTCTATTTTAGCAACTGTTCTTTCCCTAGTATTCTTAAATCGCTGTAATGAGTCATATAAATAAAACCGGGGGAAACTAACATATAAAAATATTAAAATTATAATATATAATTAACTGGAGTATCGCCACGTTTTTATCACCGAAAAGCAATTTGAATTCAGAGTTCACAGATGTACACAACATGCAATAACATCACTTTCCGCGGAGTGGAATGCATTCATAAGGAGAGACAGATTGCCCTAATGCAACGAGAGATGTAAATAAAACATTTGACAGCTTATGGTACAATGGGCTGACCTATAACTGTTCAAATATTCATGATCATAACTGGACCTTTCTGAGATTCATAAGTAACTTACTCTCCTACAGAGAATTATTCCAAACTATAACCAAACATCTTCATGGAGTCACACGGCTCATGTCCTCAGCTCTGTACTTTTAATATGTATATCGATGACCTTCCACTCCGAATCCATGATGATAGTCATTACACTCTGTATGAATAACTGCACACACATGGTGATGTCAAACTCTGCTGGTCGAAGCAGACGGAGATGTGCAAACTAGTTAGAAAACCAATGAAGAATTTCAATATAAAGCCAGATGGGAAAGATAGTGGTGAAAAAAACACCAATCCTGAGAAAATCGAAATCGGTACAGCAGGATCTGTCTAGCTTAATTGAAAAACGAAGAGTAATGACACCAGAGAAAGGCCTGTAAACGTAATAGTCGAAATCCTTGGATACGAAGTTGACAGGTTACTACACTCCAGTAAGCAAGTTAATATCTGTGGAAAATTAAATTTACCTGGATGCATCTCAATAGATACATACCAGTAAATAGTAACAAAGATAATTATTATTTATCAAAGTTACATAGACAAGTAGAAATTTTGAGACACCTAGGTCGCAAAAAATGTCCCCCTTCGATACCTACTACTGTCATATCCACAAGTCACTCTTGACCTATATTACCTGGAGCCTGGAGTTTACCTCCAGGAATTCTGGAGAATTCTGGTAAATTTAATATAAACATGTGGACTGTATATTAAATTAATAAATGATTACATATACGCATCTATGTAACAGAAGGAGAATTTATAATTATAACACTCATCAATTAGTCTGGAGATTACTGTGTGTCATGTACAGAGCCCCCCCTCTACCTAAATTTATGATGATAATACTGGCCAGAATTACAAACATAATTTAGATAGCTTATCTGAGGTTCCTGGAGCTGCCCTGCCCATCTGCTTAATGCTCAAGTTATGCAGGACTGCACATCCAACAATTTCGGCTCCTATTTGAGAGGTTTTAAGCCCAATATAACCCCTAGAGCGACGAAAATTATGCACATTTCATTAGCGTGCCTGTATCACATTCAAAAACAATGGCGACCCCTCCCTGCTCCTCAGCGCAGCCGCAGAGCTTCCCTCTCGATTCTCTTTTTCATTTACAAATTAATTTTTATTAAATACAATGTATTACAGTAATTTTCATAAAAAAAATACGCTGGATTTTTCGGAAAATACATTATTTTCCACAATATCAAAACAAATATGGCCAAAAGCTAACTGGCCTAAACACACCGGTTGCGATCAGCCTCAGAACACATTGTCACACCTATATACAGTAAGATATTAATCGACACCGTATTAGCTAATTCTACGATGATAAATACTATAGCTCTGCAAAGAACGCAGATTAGTACATTCAGATTCACAGCAAATTTCAGTCGCAGTGAAAGAAGGGATGGATTAGCTCCACAAAATACAACACTGAAACTGTGAATAAAAGACTCCGCCTCTTTATGAAGAAGCAGCCGCTATAAATGATAGAAATTTACAATCTGATAGAGAAAATGCTATAATTAAAAATAGATAACGTACTAACTATGAGATCCAGGAAAATCTCGTAGAAATTTTACAATAACAATTCAACAAAAATGACTAAGATTCATGTACAAACGAAAGTTTCCACCACTAAGAATTTTGAGCAACTTACCACAAGATAAGGTTTGCAACCCCTCCCCCCCCCCGTATACGTGGCTCAAAGAATTAATAACTAACAACAACAAATAACAAAGAACAAAAGACCTAATCTGTTGAAGATGTCGACCCATACAGGTCTCAAATGACGCCACAAGTATAAAAGTGGAAACATTCAGACGACCATTCAATATCTACATGTCATAACCTAAATTTCCAAATGTCGGAGCGTTCCGAAATTCACGTTTAAATAAAAGAAAAGATGAACTTCAGTAATTATCAAAACCAACTGTCTGGCAAATTGTATATATATATATATATATATATATATATATATATATATATATATATATATATATATATATATATATATATTATATATATATATATATATATATATATGTATAATATATATATATATATATATATATATAATATATATATATATATATATATAATATATATATATATATATATATATATATGTGTGTGTGTGTGTGTGTGTGTGTGTGTGTGTGTGTGTGTGTGTGTGTGTGCTCACCTAATTGTGGTTGCAGGGGTCGAGACTCAGCTCCTGGCCCCGCCCCTTCACTCATCGCTACTAGGTCCTCTCTCTGCTTCCTGAGCTTTGTGTGTGTGTGTGTGTATGGTTGCAGGGGTCGAGTCATAGCACCTGGCCCCTTTGCTGGGTCACTCTCCATGAGCTTTATCATGCCTCTTCTTAGAGCTATATATGGCTCTTGCCTCCACTACATCATTTTTCCAAACTATTCTACTTCCTGATAACTCCTGACTGAAGAAATACTTCCTAACATCCCCGTGACTCATCTGTGGCTCGTGTGTGTATGTGTGTATAAGTCTTTGTGTGTTTCAGTGTGAGGTAGAGTGTTAATGTTTAAATTTTTAAGCACATGAAATATTAATATTGTAAATAGTATCGGCTGATTTTTAACCTATACCGATACCGTAAAAATGGCCGATATCGATATACTCCCAGGCGCTGTAATATCTTTCAGGTGTTATGACTGGGCCTTTACTGCCACAGGTCAAGACTAGTTGTAATCTTGTGTGATCTCTCCCACAGGAGCCCCAACATCACTTGGAACCGGCCCGAGGCTGCTACGTTCGCCGGCATGGGTATCTGCATGGAAATGTACCCGTGTCCTTTCGATGTGCAGGAAGTGGTGGGCTTCAGGATCCCCGGTTCCAACTCTCTCACTAGTGCGCCCTCTAGTTGGACTGGAATTAGTTTCAGACAGGAACCTTGGCTCTAGCCCTGCCATCAGTGCTTGGAAGGAATATTACTGCTTCGGGTGACCTGGCCATCGTGGAAATAAGTCAAGGACCCCAGTGGAAATAAGTCACTGTCTGACTTTTGGGGGGAGCTATCCTAGGTAATTTACACTATGTACGATAATTGTATTTATGTGTATGTGTGCCTAAATATACTTATTTATTAAGTTCTTGTACAGCAGTCTTCGAGCGCTGTGACAACGGACACTTCGTAGACAATGGCGGGGAATAATGACGCATTCTTACCTGAATCTCCACCAACTAAGGTGCCTTGCTTGACAGGGGTCTTATGACAAGCTGTAATAGGTTTTCGCAGCGCTGGCTTGTCTTGGGGAAGGTGTTGGAAAATATTTGTCTATAGTCTTAAATTGTGATCCATTCAGTAGTTAAGTGTTAAGTTTCACTGATTACACCACTGTCGTACCGGTGCTAGGTATGACTGATTATGTAATCACTAGGGCACAGGCACTTGGGTATCAGTGATTGAGCAACCACTTGCATGTCATTACCGGGACTCCCTTTCGAAACAAAGGACACTGCTGTATTTTATAATATCAGATGTAATGCCTACTGCAAGTGTCTTAAAAATAAAATTTACTCTATTCTAAAGTCACTCGTTTCTTTTCGTGTATGTTAAATAAACAAGGTAAGTCAGGCCAGCTAATATATGTAGATATCATATACTTAAAGGGTCATATTATCCTGAGATGCGATGGATGTGGTTTACAAAACATTAATAAAGGAGTCACCATTAAATATTGACTCAAGCTTCGGCACCTGTTGTTTATGACCAACAGGGAGACCAGACCACCATATATATTATTATTATTATAATCAAGGGGGAAGCGCTAAACCCGGAGAATTATACAGCGCCTAGGGGGGGATGTGGAAGGCATTCAGGCTTAATTTGGGGAACTGGAGCACAGATCCAATTCCCTAAATCAAGAGTCCCTCACCAACATCAAGGAACCTTCCTTGAGGGGACCACCATATATAAACATGTAAATAGTTCATTACCACTAACTTGTTTAGCTCTCAGAAGTTTGCGAACCAGTCCCTGGACCCATTATGTGCCTCTCTAATCTCTCTACTACCACCCACACCATGGGTATGGGCTGCATAATAAAGATAATAAAAATGAATTGAAACTTGAGCATTATAAAAACATCATCTAAATATAAACTTGCATGTTAATACTTTGGGAACAATCTCCCCGTAGCCTAGTGGTGTAAATTATTAAATATGGATTCTTAAAGTTCTGTAATATTACCTTGCTTGTCACCTACCTGTACATGGTTATACCGTGAGGTTGTGATTCTGCTGCCATAATGTCGAAATTACAGACAGTAGGAAGTTCTTAACAGATTAGATTAGAACATCTTCAATGTAACTAGGAAATAAGATCTAGAATCCAGGTCACAGCTGCTGGCATTACTCTGCTGCATCTCTATATGGGCATTTTAGAATTAATAGGCTGTGTATGAATGACATATTTTTTAACTACAATTTAATAATTTATTGTCTTCTTTAGTCGAAAGCTAGAGATTGACCGGCAAACTTCATGTTATATATATATATATATATATATATATATATAATATATATATATATATATATATATATATATATATATATATATATATATGCGCACTATATCGTATTGGACATTTTTCAAGTTTTTCGGAAGGAGAAATCAGTGAAATAAATTATAAAAAAAAAATTAATGATACTCTTTGTTATTGCGCTACTGCTACTCGTCAATAACTGACCGAAAAATGTCAAAAATCTGCAAAATGACTAGGTTATGAAATGCAGCGATATTAGGACAAAAATAGTATTATCCATTGGTATAAACATAGATAACTCTAAGTATCGTGATGCTTGGATGAATATATGCAATGTTACCGATTGTTTAATATTTAGTTTCACAATTTCTTTTCTCTTTGCAACTGGATTCTTGTTTCATCCAACGCATTGGTTACAACATTTGGTCATCAACCATTTCACTAGTTATTTCATACCCTGTATATGCAAGGTTCCACAATACGTTCAACTACGTATCTTTACCAGTTCTGTATACCGTATACCGAGTTGCTTGAAACTTTATATGTTTTCAATCGAAAGGACCCGGGTTCATTGTTGGGTGGGGCGAGAATTTGGGGCAAATCTAACACCAGTTGCCCATATTCATCCCAACAATAAATAGATACCTAGAGTTAGTCGACTGTTGTGGATGGTATTGTGTGGGAGGCCTTACGGACACTAGAAATAAGCCACACTTCTAGTCTTTCTTGGGTTATCTTGGTTTATTAACCCTCCAGAGTCAATAATCCAAATAAAGTCATCTTCTACAATGATCTCATTATTTCCCTGATGGTTACCTGTTAACCAACATGGTTCTGTGGCTGCTGCTGCAATTCCTCCTAGCTTGTGATATTGCTTCGTTCTTTATATACTGTGTACGCAATATACAATTTGTATAATTATATATCCATCTCTACGGGTTATTACTGAGTAATAAAAAATGTGACGAGATCCTCTGGGAACCAGCAAAGTAATAACAATGGTTATAAATGACCATAATTTTAAAGGGGTGGACCGGTAAGCCAAACGATGGTTCCACTATCTTAAATGCTCCACCAACCATCAAGGCATGGCACAACTTGCTACTTTTTGGCAATGTCTGCTTAGCTGTGCCGGAAAGAAGGGGAAAGAGGCTAGCCTCAATGATAATTAAATCCTTAAGAGATTTTCCTAGAGTTGATAACCTCATTCACCTTCCCCGTCAACACAAAAAAGGGAGAGGCAGAACCCCCACTCACTCTACTGACAGTGAAAAAGTCAGTCCAGGTGAGCAAGAAAATTGAAGAGGGCAACACAGTGGGGGCAATCAGAATTATTACCAGTGAAGATACAGTTGCTCCCAGGGATGCTGACACGGCTGAAGCACTTAGAGGAAAGCACCCTGCCAGGGAAACCAGTGGCACCAACAGTTCCAACACCTCTGTCCCCACTATGGAACCATTGATTGTGGAAGACTCAGACATTTACAAAGCAATAATGTCGTTCCCATCTGGCTCTGCTGGGGGTTACACTGGAATAAGGCCACAGCATTTAAAGGAAATGGTTAATCCAGTTATTGGGGAAATTGCAGAGACACTGCTTTCAGAGATCACAAGGTTCGTCAACAATTCCTTGGCTGGTCTGATTCCTGATGAAATTAGACCTTTCTTTTTTGGTGCAACACTCTGTGCACTTAAAAAGAAGGATGGAGGAATTCGGCCAATTGCAGTAGGCAACACCTTACGCCGCCTCGTATCCAAAGCTGCTGTCCGAAGTATTCGTGCACAGGCAGCCATGATGCTTCAACCAAACCAGCTTGGCTTTGGGGTCTCTCAAGGAAGTGAAGCAGCGGTTCATGCAACAAGGGCATATATCAACAACCTGCCTGAGGACAATGCAGTGGTAAAATTAGATTTCAAGAATGCGTTCAATCTCCTGAAGAGAGACGTGGTATTAGCAGCAGTACAAGAACATTTCCCTGGTCTCTTCCCTTTTGTTTCAGCTGGGTATAGCAAGGAATCAATGCTTCTCTTTGGAGAGCATGAAATCACATCATCGGAGGGTGTCCAACAAGGAGATCCTCTTGCACCATTTCTCTTCTGTATTGCAGTTAGGGAAATCACAGTCAGACTGACCAGCGAGCTAAACATCTGGTTCCTAGATGATGGCACACTAGCAGGTACAAAAGAGTCCCTCCTACATGACCTTACACAGGTAATGACACGGGGACAGGAAATGGGTCTCATCCTGAATGCATCCAAATGTGAAATCATCTCAGTCAGTCAACAAGTGATAAATGCAGTGAGATCAAAACTACCAGGAGCAGCAGTCATTGCCCCCACAAATAGTGTCTTGCTAGGAGCACCTCTGGGAAGCAATGCCATTGACACAATTCTCAGGAAGAAATTGGAAGAGTTAAGGAGAATGGAACAACGAATAGGCAATCTGGACACCCACGATGCCTTGTACCTTCTCACAAAGTGCTTGAGTCTGCCCAGGTTGACATATTTCCTAAGATGTGCACCTTCATATGATAACCCTATACTGCACGAATATGACAGTATTCTGAGGCAGATTTTTACGAGAGTACTTAACCTTACTCTAGAAGACGGGCAGTGGAACCAAGCTACACTTCCAGTCAGACTAGGAGGCATTGGTGTCCGCAAGTCATCACAGATTGCGTTACCTGCTTTTCTGTCCTCGTGTATTGCATCCAGAGCTTGTAGCAGCGATTCTCCCTGAACATCTTAGGGACAAGATTGGAGCCCAGGACCAAAAATTCATTGACGGAGCAATGATCTGGGATAATCTAACGGGCTCAGAAACCAGACCTGCTCCCCCCAACAACTACAAACAATCGCACTGGGATGGTCCAATAGTGGAAAATATAGCCTCAACGATGCTTCAGAGTGTGTCAGGGAAGGATAGAGCCCGCCTGCTGGCAGTGAGAGCCCCTCATGCTGGGGACTTTCTGTTGGCTGTTCCCAACTCCAGCCTTGGCACACCCCTCGACCCACAGACCATCCGCATCGGAGTTGCCCTTCGACTTGCCGCCCCTATTCTCGCCGAACACAGGTGTATTTGTGGCAGTGAAGCAGCAGACCGATTCGGGTACCATGGTCTTGTGTGCCGTAAATCCGAGGGAAAGATTGCAAGACATGAGGAGGTTAATAACATTATCAAGAGGAGCCTCACAACAGCTGGATGCCCAGCAGTAAGGAAGCCACCGCAACTACGCAGATCTGACGGCAGCCAGAAGCGTCCAGATGGTATCACCCTTCAAGCCTGGACAGATGGGAAGCAGGTGGTGTGGGACTATACATGTGCATCTACCTTGGCTGATACCTATCTCCAATACACCAGGGAGGAAGGAGGGGCAGCTGCCAGCTTTAGGGAGTCCCAGAAGTCTAGAAAATATGGAGAACTTGCCCATCATTATATGTTTGTTCCCATAGGCTCAGAGACCCTTGGCTCATGGGGAAAGAGTGCATCTAATTTCCTTAAGGAGCTGGGAAAAAGACTCATCAGGGTAACTAGGGATCCCAGGGCAGCTAGTTTTCTGTTCCAGCGGCTCAGTGCGGCTGTTCAAAGGGGTAATGCATGCTGCATTTTGGGCACATGCCCCAGCTCTGAGGAGCTGGATGAGATTTTCGCCTTATAATCGGTGATACACACGTAACAACATGTACCGTATATGCCACCTTTATATCAACAATGTATCTCTTAAATCTTCTGTACCATATTATGTAATAAAATATTCCTATTGGTAAAAAAAAAAATAGTTTAAAAGATGGGGTGGTAGGGGAAGTGGAATATTCAAATGGCTTCAGGAAGAAATCCAAATATTCTTCCTTGAAGCCTTTTTATCCACTTCTCCGAGGCTATGGGTCCCACAATTTACACCAGAGGTGGACCCCATCCTATATAATATATATATATATATATATTATATATATATATATATATATATATATCCTGTGAATACTATGTCTTATATAGGTTACAGGATAGCAAAATGCACGTCAAAACTGTATTTATAAATAATAAACTGTTGTTACCTAGTTTTTAAAGATGGTTTCTATGTTATAATAAAGAGTTTTAGATGAATAATTATTTTTATCCTGTGAATTTTGAATACCATCTGCATAATGATGAAACAGAAGAGTCTCTATATTCACATTCCTCTGATAGTCCTTGTGAGAAGTTATGATGGATAGGAAATGGAAGGTAAACAATTTAATCCGAGGAAGGTGAGAGTAGCCTTGGAGAATGGGAGATAACTAGCTCATTACAAAAGACATGTCCAATTCTTGGCATCAAAGCCTCTCACCGACATCAATGAACCTCTCTTGAGGGGATTCGTTATCTGGACCTTTTAATCACATGATCTTCGAATAAATCCTCGTCACCAAATTATATTTACATTTGTTCCACTCGTCTCCTTTTATTCTTTATTTGCTTCCTTATTTTTCGTGTTCCCTTCTTTTCTTATTCCCACTTTATCTACCGTGTCTGTCTTCCATAGGCAGTGATAAGGTTGATATAAGTTGATCTCCTATAAGAAATAATGACGTCTTTTATGAAGTGTAGGTATTAGTCCGCGAGAGAGGCTGTGCGCTGCCATTGATCCTCTGTGGTGCTGACGAGAGCGCCCACTGCTCCTACCTATAGGAGGCAAGAAATTCTTTCTCAGGTAATGGTAGCATCTTTTAGCTGACCTTGTTTGCTGTGGTGGTGTTGTTCTGGCTCTTCACCTCCTTCAAGAGGAGGTCTATAATGATGTGAAACACAATAATAAAGAAGGTGGAAAATATGCAGAAGAGGAGCCAGATGTCGACTAGTTTGAAGTAGGAGGTCTTGGGTAATGAGGCGCTTACCTTTCAAAACAAAATAATAGTTACCCTTACGGGGATTTGGATTTAAGCTTCAACTGCACTTAATTACAACTGAAAATGCATAGTAATAACATGTTG